AATGCCAAAGGGATTTCTATTCTTAGAATCATAGAATGGTTTGGGTTGGAAGGGACTTTAAAGGTCATCTAGTTCCAACCCGCCTGCCGTGGGCAGGGACACCTGCCACTAAATTAATGTGTGTTCTTTTCTTCTTGACACACATCAGTATTTTAAAACATGAATTCAGTGTAATAATTTCTGTCACCTTCTTTCTTTAAATCTGTGGGGTGTATTTGTGCAGGAAAGTGAAACGTTTAAGCATTGCATCAGTTTTATGAAATGTTGTGAGTGTTCTGTGTATCAGGAATAAAGCTGTAATTACTGAAAGAGGAGGAGGATTTTTCAATTTGTAAGAATGTGTTTCCTGGTTGTGCAATACGTTGATACCATTCTGTTAAATGTTCTTTTATAATTGTCAGAGTATGTCTCTAAAACTAAGAAACATCACTCTGATTTTTGGGTTAAAATCTAGCTAGCAGCAATTAACCACTGGAAGTATTCCTGACAGCAGTGGGCTGCTTTGCTGTGTCTGTGTTTGTGCCCGTTACCTTCAGTAGGGGAAAAGACTAGAGACTTGTGTGTATTTGACCTTTGTTATGTAGGACACCAAGTGGAAGGCAGTCGGAAATTGGCTGGTGGTGTATTTCTAGTAACTACAGATGTAGGAATGTAGAGCAAGCCCTAAAGTTGTATGTATGGAGTTTATGGAGGCTGTTGGCAGTTTGGTTCTTGGTGGTAGCGGATCTCCTTGAGTTCAGGGATTTGAAGGATCAACGCTAAGGACTTGAATCAAGTTTCTGAAACACAACTAGCATTTGAGACTGATACAGAAAACAAATCATCCTGCTACTTGTGCAGGCAATTTAGAAATAGATTTTTGTAAGAAAATAGGTTTCTGTAAGACTGTTATATCTGGCACTTAAAAAATCACTTGATAATACTCAGACTAGATGGAATATCTGCTTCCTTATTCAGATTACTGCAAATAGAGAATTTTTGTTTCACTGGATTTTAAGAGCGAAACCCTGATTCTTTGGAAGAGTAAAGAATTTAATAAATCGGATATTTATTAATATATCCTTTGTTTAAGAGGAACTTTTTAACTGTTCTCATATGTACCTAGCATGTGATTTATGGTTTAATTTTTCTTTTTAAACAAGTTTTTGTATTCTTTTATTCTTTTAGAATGAGAGGCTTCAGGCTTTGTTAGCAGATAATGAAAAGATGAATTTAGCAGATATGGAACTTATTCCACTTCCTCTGGAACCTCAGGTGAAAATTAAAGGGATAATCCCTGAAAAAGCCACACTCTTCAAGGTAAATGAGATCTTCTGAATAGCTGAGATAGAAACAACTCTTCTGAGCACTCAGCTTAAACGTATCAGTGCAAAGATTTAAAGGGGCTGTCAAAACCTAACTGTAATGTGCTCAAAGTTGTTAAACAACTGTTTATTTTCTTTGTTGAAACTGTTTTCAAATTAAGACACAATCTTCAAAGCAGCTTTTGTAAGACCGATATAGTTTATTAAGTTTCTGAAGTCCCCAGTCTGAAGGCCTGCTTCCTAGTTCAGCATTTCCCTGAACCTTAGAGTATGTTTCATGGGAATGTCACTTATGATCAAAATCACACAAATAGAGTCCGGAGCATGGAATCTCAGCGAGATGCGTGTGTCTATTCCATTGCAAAATAAAATAGTTAAATTGCTGGAGACAGGAAAGAAAGAAGGTGGTCCACTTCGTTCCGTAGCAGTGGACTGACCTGGAGAGGCTGTATCCTTGAGAGGTCAGTTACTCCTTAAGCCAATCTGCAGCAGTTGCTTGTGGTCATGTGGCCATCATTTAATCTAGTTAAATCTAGTTTAAATCTAATTACTAAACAGTCAATATGATGTTGAAAGGGCTGGGGTTATTTGCCTGTACCACTTGAGAAGTTATTGCCTCTGTCCAGTGAGGTGGACTTTAACTCTTTGTAAATTTACTTTAAACTCATATAGGTGACTGTGATCTAATTTTAAAATGACCGAAATGTGCTTTACTAGTCAGGCCTGTGTCCAGGAGGCATTCTCTGCCAGTTAAGACATTCAAGCTGTTCTGGCAGCCAGTGTTAATCCATTGTCTCTACTAGGTCATAGGTTTACTATGCCCAGTAGTTTCAAACTTTGATGGGTGACTTGTTGGCTGAGATATAATTTGTGTTTATTTAAAATCAGAGAGGAATGTTTTTTCTGTAGTTCTTTACCATATCATGCCTTGGTTCTCTAGCTTTGGCTCACTTTTTTATCTACCTGTTAGTCTTTTTGAAGAGTACACTTCAATTCCACGCTTTTACACCTCAAGTTGGAGGCAATGTTGGGAAGATCTTATCATGAAAACAAGATTTTGCAGATCTGAGTCAGCTTCTAGCATTAATATGATTTAATGTTTGAGAGAAGTATGTTGATGAAAAGACTACTGGAACAGCAATTAAACATTTCCTATCAAGAATAATAGTTTAATTTGATCAGGACAAACTCAAGTTAGATAGTCGTCTTCTACACGTCGATCTGTTGTAGCAGTGTAGAATATTTAGGCCCAATAATGTGAGATGTAACTTGCTTCAAAATCAGAGATGGTTTAGATTCTTCTGATTCTGAAAGGTCACAGATTTCTATTTAATCTCTCATTCTGTACTATGGGCTAATAAAACAAACCTAAAGAGGGAAGAATGACTAATTTTTGATGCTCTTTGACATCACATGGCAGCTTTTGTAGGACTATTGAAAGAATCATTTTTCTTTTATTTATGGAATGTAATAATTCTAAAACATTAATTGCTTGTGAAAATCTAACGTAACTACTCAAACATTGAACTCCCTGTCCTTGATATTTTTTTGTTGTTGTTTTGGTTTTGAGGGAAATGACTTGGTCAGTTGTAATAGATGAAATCGTTCATGTGGGTAATTGATGCCATTCAGCCCTTTTTATACACTGAAATTGCAAACAATTAAATTTACTTTCTCAAACAACAATATAAAAAGGCGTTTTTGCTTTCGCTAAATAGATTAAGGAAGCAATTGGTGGTTTAAGATGTCTTGCCTCTAGCATTTCTTTGATGTTTATTCTATAATTGTGTCTTTTTGATGTGGTCAGTTTAAATTTGTTTTTTTCTGACCTTTTGCATAGTGCTTCTGTGTTGATTGGAACTACATGCATACAAACAAAATTTGAATGCTTCTGTCCTTTCTTCTTCAGCTGCTGGTGGACTCGGGTGGAGGGAAATGTACCCTTCATGCTCCTTGCTATAAAAGAAGGAAAACCTTAACGTATTTTTTTTTTTAAGAAACATGTGTAGATCACACTTTTGATAACTAGAAATGGTGTATTCTAACTATTGAGTCCTAGACAGGGAGTAAAACTGCTTTTTGAAGCTTTAGAGCTGCTTCTTTTCTACCAAACTTGAGGAACATAAAAGAGTTCCGGAGCTCGCTACCACACTGTTGGTGTTCAAATAGGACTATTCTAAACCTTTTCATAACCGAATTTGATACTTGAATCCTATGACCAGATACTTGCTTAATTCACTTATGGTTTACAATGCAATGGACAAGGATTTATGTTTTAAACTCCACTGTAGCAACATGTGAACACAAACACTGCTGTGAGCCAGTTTAGTAGAATATGTTTCCTTTCCAGAGTGCCTTAATGCCTGCTCAGTTATTCTTCAAGACAGAAGATGGAGGGAAATACCCTGTAATTTTTAAGCATGGTGATGATTTACGTCAAGATCAACTTATTCTTCAGATTATTTCACTCATGGATAAGGTGAGAACTATTAATCTGCATCTTCGTCTTTGTGTTCTTTATTTTCCTTGTCAGGAGCAAGACTGTTTTGAAAACTGTTAATACAGCTTATGTTGCTAATGCATTGCACGGTTCTCGGGTCATAGGTGACTTTTTTCTTTTCTTCATAGACAGGCAATGATCCTGTGCATACTTAAAAATCACTCATTACTGATTTCAGTGAAGAACAGTGGAGATAAGTGTCCAATGCACATTCCTTTTACCAATAGCAGCTGCCTTTGTATTGTGTTCATCTTTGCTTTTTTGTGTGGTGTTTTTTTTCTAGCTATTAAGAAAAGAGAATCTGGATTTGAAGCTGACACCCTATAAAGTGCTGGCAACGAGTACAAAGCATGGTATGGATACTTATATTTCCTAAAAATACCGTATTGAGAGGAATCTTCTCCTTCTGTTCATAGACTGTTGTGACACACTATTTTCATGAGACATGACCTGGACTTGTTCAGAGCATTTGACACATTATCCACATGAGATCCTTGCCTCTAAATTGGAGAGACAAGGATTTGACGGGTGAACCACTCGATGGATAAGGAATAATTGAGAAACTCATAACTGCTGCCCTGGATAGGCACACCCTCCTTTGGGTTAAAAACTGGCTGGATGGCCGGGCCCAAAGAGTGGTGGTAAATGGGGCTAAATCCGGCTGGAGGCCGGTCACCAGTGGGGTTCCCCAGGGCTCAGTGCTGGGTCCAGTTCTGTTTAACATCTTTATCAATGACCTGGATGAGGGGATTGAATGTACCCTCAGTAAGTTTGCGGACGACACCAAGCTGGGAGGCTGTGTCGATCTGCTCGAGGGTAGGGAGGCCCTTCAGAGGGATTTGAACAGACTGGATCGTTGGGCTGAGGCCAATGGCATGAGCTTTAGTAAGGCCAAGTGCAGAGTCCTTCACTTGGGGTACAAAAACCCCAAGCATCACTATAGGCTCGGGGAGGAGTGGCTGGAGAGCTGCCTGGCAGAGAAGGACCTGGGGGTGTTGGTTGAC